GACAAGTAACGAGATAATGCAGCAGAATAAAGATATCAGTTTTCAGTCTCTGTACATTTGTATTAGTTTGAAATTTTCAGCATAAGGAGATGGAAGAATTATGGGAGCGTTTGCGCGAGAAAATGAATGAGGCCAGAAATACAATGTATTGTGATTGTGGCATGAAACATAGCCGAGTTCCAGTGGAAAGTATTCGTCTATCGGAAGCACGTTATTGCAAAAAGTGCGAACTTCGGCATCCTGCGAAGCATGTAAGGTTTTGTACAGCTGCAAGCCAAGTTGATGGTTTTTTTAGCAACGGTTTTTTGGCGATTTGCAACTACCTGACCGAGGGTTAGTGGCCGCCGTGGTGCAGTTATACGTAGGCATCATCTCTCGGAGTATACCAAGTGTCAGCAATAACAAAGCCTATTGATAGAACTGTCGGTGGCTTCCTTTCCCCGTAATTTTCGTAAAAGCAATCGGGTGCCAGAGTTGACTCCTTGACACGTTTAAGTATTTTTTTGGCACCGAAACGAATAATCGAACCGTTTAGAGGGATTGGTTTTCACGTTAACAGCTTGAACTATCGACATGATTCTAAGAAAAGATGCCACTTGCCGCCTTTTCAGTTTGGTGTTTATGCATACTTTGAAATAAAAGCCGAAAAACACCAAAAAAAGAGGACGAAAAACTTGGCATAGCTTCTTCCGGCATGTGAAAACGTCTCACGAACAATATTAGGTTGTGATCCCCGCACCGACTGTCCCCGCAGTCCTAGTATTACCGGTGAAACCAAAAAATTGTTCCGTGCCATCCTGAAAATTATTGGTAAAGGTCAAAAATGAAGCAGCTACGTTTATTTCATGTGTAGTGTTTAGCAAATTTCGATAAAATTGCTGTGCAAACACAAAAAAAGGGAAAATCCTTTTGTTTGTTTTTAGAATGATATTTGGGCAGAAACTAGATTTTTTGGCTTATTTTGGGTCTATTACACATGCCAGTATGGTACTGTTTATGACATAACGCAGTGGGCTAAGTGTCCGGTATGAATTTTCATTGTTTTTTAGAATGTTTCAATATGCCGAACTCCATCGATTGGAGCTAAATTTACGAACATTGGAGAGCTCTCGTTTTTAGTTCAGTTGGTGCGGGGTGTTAGAAACGATACTGGGCTCGATGAAGGTTGAAAAAATCATGTGGAAAGCCGTGCTGTCAGATTCTTTTGGTGGCATATAGCTGCTTAGATGGAGAACTGAAGTCCAAACAGTGGGAATACTCTCTGATGTTTTCTTGTGGCTTTCGATTTTTATTAAAAAGTCAAAACTGGTCTTTGCTTCCTTTCTTTCGTATTTCACTCTCTGAAGTTAGGGAGAACTCGAAACGATGGCAACAGTAAACAGGCTGTTAATGATGCTCGTCGATTTTAAAGGCTTTTTATGATTTAAAAGTACTATGCTAGTAATTCTAACTCAGAGTTTTACACTTCACCCTTATTCACTTTGCAAAAATGAAAGACGGATGCGCCGGAGAGTAGCCCGTGTGGTTATTTCGAGCCAGAAGCAAACACATGCTGGCAAGGCTGTCAGTGGCTTCCTCTTCTGAG